TTCCTTGTTCCACCCCCGGTTTCCCCGATTGGCGTTTCTCTCAGCCTGCTCTGCAGAGAACTCTGCGTACCAGGCTCGCCAATCCAGGTAACTGCCCGAGGGCAGACACGCCTTTGCCAGCTGAATCCAGTCCGCGGGGGTGAGGGGCCCAGAAGACAGATTCTCCAGCATGGCAATGGTGTAAGGCGCAGTCGGCCCAAAGGTTGTAACTGCATTTTTAAGTTCTCTAATCTGCTTTATCTCAAAAGGCTCCCATGCATTGCGTCCCTGGCCCATAGCTACTTGTACAGGAAATATCCCGTAGGGGCCACTATCTATCCCAGGTGGATGTACCTCATGAGACAAGCGTCCCCCCTGCCAAAGCCGCCTGTAAAAATACTGACCCGCCGGCGGCGGAGCATAAGACAGCGGCCGTGATTGGGCGGAAAATGGGGGCCCGTGCATCACTTCCTGTTCTGGCGAAAGGGGAGAGAGCTCCCAGGCGGCCGCCTCGTGGCAAGGGATCGCCTCCCTCTCGCGCCGGGGAGCGCTCAGGAGCTCTCTACTCCTCCGCAGACCAGGTTGAGCAGAGCGCAATTCGCGGCGCAACACTGGAAAAGAACCCTGTGACTCCTTATCGAGCGACTTGGGCTCCTGACAGCTGGTCTCTTTGGCCTCCTTGCCATTCAACTTTCCCTCGTCCTCGGAGTCAGACGACTCCGAGGCTAGAGCCCCGTCCTCCTCCTTAGCATCCTTGTTCCCCTTGACGGACCCCTCTCGGGAGCTCCCTGACTGGGCCTGCTCAGATACCCTGCGTACTTTTGTAAGCTCTTGAGAGCTTTCTCCACAACCACCCTCGCTCTTAGTGTTGCTACCTAACATGTTTCCCATCTTTTAATATGTTACTCACCGCGTGAGGCCCAAGGAATCCGCCACTTACGCGTGAGCCTGAGGGGAGTCTAAAAGCCCTGTAGGTGCGCGCCACCCAGAGCCCAGGCTTATCCCCAACTCACCTGTCTCGCAGCTCTGTACTGGAGCGTTGTCCACTTCCACGTCTCGGGGGTGATCAGTCCCCGGGCGGGCCTCCAAATGTCGATGTCCGCTCCCGGCCGGCAGGAAGGACACACGACAAAGTCTGGTAGTGGACAACCTTTTCTTTTTATTTTTCTTCTCCGTACAGCCTGCCCTGGGTTCTCCCAGCTGAAGCCTCCTCTGGTCCGCTCCCCGCGGCTCCTTTTGTGCTTCAGTCTGCCCCAAAGCCTCTACCGGTCCGCTCTCCGCGGCTCCTTTTGGGCTTTTACTTCTGGGCTTCTACCTGGCTTCTTCTTCCGCCCAGGGGTGGCACCGGTATATATACGGGTACAGTGTCCAATCATGTTAAAGTAAGCAAGGCAAGCTGATTGGCTAACATCATCAGTTGCCAGGCAGACTATATTGTTGAGCGGGTTGCTTACGCGGTAAGCAGGAAACTAACGTGCTCGATGGGAGGGGTAATCTACCTCAGGCTTTGCTCTTTCCTACAGGCCTCACGTCCGCCAAGTGAGGCGACCTATCACAGACGCGGCTCCCAACAATGCATGTCTGGGTACCTTGCTCAAGAGATCTTCCAGGTTCTATTGGAGAAAGGTACCCAGAGAGCAAGCCCACTGTGCCCAAAGAAGCCAGGACGAAGGGCCACATGGAACAGAGAGGCTCAGGATCACAACTGTCTCAACTTAGTTCAGCACCTAGTGAACACAGGCAAATAAGCAAACCCAGACAAGGCCCACAGAGCTGTGAGGAGAAACAAATGGCTTTAAGCTGCAAAGGGTGGACAGAGCAGCTTGTTACTAAGCAACAAATGACTAAAAACACTTTGTAGGGTAACCTCCAAAACAAGGAGCAGCAAAGCAGCAGGGACTGCAAAGCAGAGCTTAAGGGTGCTCCAGACATTAGGTCCACATGTCCCTAGCCTCATCCCACCAAAATCAGGGGCCTCAGCTTCACCTGAAACCTAGCAGTGCTGCAAGTGCAACTGATAGTGACAAGGTGGTTTGGCAGCTGCAGCATCAAACTCACACCCTCTTAAGCCATCTAATGAGGCTTAGCTCTCTCCTGCTAGCCTCACACCCCTGCTGAGAGTGCCCTCAGACTTACATTCAGACGGGTAAATGGAGAACTGACGTGGGGGAAAGAAAGCAAGCAGAAGAGCTGGGCAGTCTGAGCCTGGGCATTGCACATACACAGACGCTTCCTTATCTTGCAAGAAGGAAGCTCCAGCCTGGGGGCTGAGCTCAGTGCTCCCCTGAAAGATGAGAGCCTGGGACAAGTGAGGTAGAGCTCAGCACACATCCCCAGGGAAAAGAAGAGGGAAAAAAAGAAAGAGGGTAGCAAGACATATGCAGGACTGAGTGTCCCTAAGAGCATGAGGGGGAAAATCAGTATGTTCTGTGCCAGGTGCCCCACAGAGCAGTAGGGGCTCAGAAGAAGCCAAGCTTGCCCTTGAAGGGGTCTCAGAGGGAGGACAATAATCTCATGCTGCAGGGACTGGGGTGGAGATGATACAGAACCCCTGGTAACTGCCCCTATAAACTTAAGAAGCAGGAAATTCACACATATCGTACCTTCTCCTTCCTCCACAGCCAGATTGGAGGTCCCATGACGGCCAGGATGTCATTGACCAGCCAGCTAGCCACAGGCTGGTCATTCCACCTCTGTGAGCCCCAGCTTTCTAACCTATAACATAGGATAGTGATAGCTACGCTTTAGGGAAGCTCTGAAAATTGATGGGCTCGAACATGGCAGTGCCAAGCACATAGTAGGTGTTCAGTAAGAGGTTAATCCCCAATTCTCCCATTTGCACCCACACCTGGGCCTTCACAATCCAGAAGGCTCAATGTCTCTCTGCAATGTTCACACGCGCTGCCGTGGGAAAAATAGGTGCTTCCAGGGACAGGCTGGGGATGGTGACGAGCCCTTGCAGGTGGTCCCTGATGGCCCCTATCTACTCTTCCCCTCTCCTTTTGCCACCTGCAGTGCCACCCTCGCATCATCAGTACCTCAACAGCTCGCTGCTGAGCGCTGCAGATATGAGATGAGGGAAAAGGAGACCTCTATCGGCGCGGGAGGGAGAACTTGCTTCCCTTTGTCCGCGCGACTCCACCCGCGCCCGGTTTGTTCACTGCCCCTTCCCACCTGGTGGGGGAGCTGTTGCACGCCGAATGTCAGAGGCGGAAGCGGTTGGCGTCCAGTCCTGAGGACACCGGAGGATCACTGAATCCAAGAATTTCAAGCCAGCCTGGACAACAGAGAGATCCCCCCTCAAAAAAACGGCTTCCCACCTCACTGGGCGACTGCGGAGTTCAGCCTCTAAGCAGACCATGCACCTCTCTGATCAGAGTGCAGTGGGTTCCTGCCCCGCACTTCCTGCTGCATAGTGGACCAGGATGGGACCCCCAGGACCCCAAACCTGTCTTTCAGCCTGTCATCTCACCTATAAAAAAAGGATAAGCCCCCCTGAGCCAAGCTGCTAGGAGACTTGGGTAAAATGATAACTGTCCAGTATTTGACAGCCATTAGGAAAAAAAAATAGTACTGGCATTTTATTAGGTCATTATTCTAAAGCTGGATGTGGTGGTATACGCCTGTAATCCCAGCACTCAGGAGGCTGAGGAAGAAGGATCACTGAAAGTTCAAGGCCAGCCTGAACTATACAGGGAGAGGTTTTCTCAGAAAAAAAAAAAAAAAATATATATATATATATATCATTCTGACCAAAAAATGCCCACTCACCCTTCAAGGCACCCCACCTGCCATTTCTCCAGTAGCCACCACTTCCTCCTCTGGACTCCCTGATTCCCTTCCTTCTACAGCAGGCTTTTGATGGGACTCAGCAAATGTTCCAGTGCCCTGTACATTGTATGATGCTGAGTGCGACAGACTGCAATGACCCAACATGGTCTCTATTCTCATACTGCACTCATTTTCATCAGGGAAGCAGGCAGGGAAGGCCTATAGTAAATGATGTGGATGATGTCAGAGCTAAAAAGGCAAATAAGAGGCTGAAGTGGGAAACGTGCTTGTTAGGTTGGGTGGTAAGACCTCTGAGCAGATTAACATGATTCCATGGTGACAAACAGCAGCCCTGCAAAGATCTACCTGAGCTGCTTGCCAGGTTGAAATGCAAAGGCCCTGAGGCAAGGGAGCAAGCACCCCTTGCATGGCAACAGGCTGATCCAGCCAACTGCAACACAGTGAGTCCTGAGCATATCCCTTACCTCTCTACCTCTAGATAAAGTTCCTTAAGGGTAGAGATCTAATTTATTGAGCCCACAGCACCAAACACACCTGAACTCTTGATCTGTTGTGGTAAAACCCCATGGGATGATAACGCAAATCAGTTGGCCCATATACAACCCCATCCAAATCTCTGGAGACACTACCAAATTGCCTGACCAGATAGGGAGTAGACCAGTGCCCTCTAAGGCAGAAATGTTAACAGAGGCAAAGTGGAGAAGTGGCCTGAGGGTATGAACCATCCAAAATCAGCCTGCATACAGCAGAGATGGAGCTCAAATTCAGTCTCCTTGGCCTCACTGGCCACAGGTCTCCGGTCCTGTGCATCCCTCTCCCTTCTTGCACAATGGTATCAGGAATTTTAAGGCTCCTGCCCCTCTCCTGCCACAAACCCCACAGAGGGCCTCCTGAGAGCAAGGATCCCACAAGCTGGTCTCCAAAGCCCAAAAGCAGGCCACATGCTAAGAGAGACTGAGTTTGTAACCTATGGGAAGAGGTCAATCACAGTGAAAGCCTAGAGGGTAAAGACCAGGGCATCTGGTCTGTGGCACCAGCATTGCCACTTGAGACTGCCAGGAGTATATTAGTCTCCAGCGAGCACACCCTGGGCCAACCCCACACCACTGTCTGCAGTTAATCCACCAGCATTTCAGGGCTTCGTGTGGGTTATTCAACTGGAGACTCTGTCCCCTGGGATGAGTGATGTGGTATCTACTGACCCAATCTTCTTTCACGCTCCAGCAATATTTCATTGGAAAAGTTTTATTGAAAAAACAATTGTACAAATAAATTCTCATTTTGACAGCAACAAAGGCTCATGTTCCCCCTTCCCTTCCTATCTTTGCAAAATTAAAAAAAAAAAAAAAAAGGGAAAACAAAACATTCATCCCCATGATGCCCCATGTAACAATTCTTAACCAGGATCTGCCAGGAGCCCCTCCTTTGAGCTGTTTTCCCATCCCTGTCCCTGGGACTAAGGCCATCCTGGGAGTGCTTGGTCCCAGGGGGCTACAGCACCTAGTTTTGTAGTTGAAGGAAGTTGGGAGAGGTCTGGGGAGCCTGGAAGGGGTTGAGGAGTTGGTGGTGGTGTCAGGAGAAGGTGGCTGCGCTGAACCCCGAGTTCAATTGTCTCACAGATTTGACAGCACTTGGCTATAAATAGGAACACTGATTGGCTGGGTGAGGAAGACTGGACCTAGGACTTTGGTATCTCTGGGCTCAGCATCATGGTTTCTGGGGGCCTGTGTCCATGTGGATCCTAGCTGGGCAAGTCCACTGGGACACATGGGAACCTGGTCCTTTTTCCACCCCCACCCCGTAGAATATCCAAGGCTGGTACCCTTCCCCAGTAGCACCCATGTGTCTCAGGAGACTTCAGGCTGCCTCCTGCCATCCCTGCACATCGTAAAGCCCTACAATTCGTCTCGCATCTTGTCACCCTTGGGCCTCACCAGGCGCCCAATGAACAGCAGGGAGCCGCTCTGGGTGTCTCGAACCAGGAAGATGAAGGGGTGGTCAGCATAGAACAGCTTGGGGCTGCGCAGCTCCTCCCGCCCATAGATGTCTTGGTCAAAGGGGTTGCCCTCTGTGTCCCACTCGAAGGCAGTGGCATGGAACACACTGGCCAGGTACAGATCCTTCTTGCCTGACATGCGCGACAAGTCTGCCTTCTTCTTGTCGATGGCCTCAGTCAGCCCCAGCCCAGCCAGGTGTTTCTGTGGGAGCAGATGTCAGATAAGGTCACAGCACTCGTCCTCAGCCTCAGCCCTCGCCACCCTGACCGCTCCTCCACAGCACAGCTACTCCCAGTACCCACCGTGTGCCAGGCACACTGCTCTCCTCACTCTCACCACATCCCTCAAGGCTTCTGCTTGCAATTCACAGGTGACAAAGTAGAGACCCAGAAAACCAAGTTAGAATCCATCCCTGCCTGCCCCGAAAGCTTCCCACTTGAGTGTGCTTCATGACCAGGGTACCATTTCTGGCAGCAACTGCAGGAATGAAATGAAGCTTTTCTCTGAGTAAGGGGTGGAGCTTACAAGCCAGGGGGTCTTTACTTAGGGTGTCATCTAGGGTGGTGTGAGGGGGATCCCCTCAGCATGTGTGCCAAGTTCCTGGCCACCCTTGGTGACCCTCAGGTACCAGTCTTATCACTGATGAATAATAGCAGGGACTAAGGGCTGGCTTGAGAGCAAGACAGGCCAATTACCAGCCAAATGACTTTAGAGTCTCAGCTTCTTCATCTGCCAACTGGTTTATAATCACCCCAATGAAGCTGTTTTGAGGATTGAGAGAATTAACATATACAAAGTATTTAGAAGCCTGCCTGGATACAGCAAGTGTCCAACTGTATTTAGGTGCTGCTCCTCTGCCCAAGGACAGGGCCCACACTTGTTCTCCAGTGTCACCCCAGCAGAGCCCAGCAGAGAGAGAAGAGTGTCCAAGCCCCTTCCCTCCAGCCTCACCTGCAGGTCATGGGTCACCTCCACCACTCCCTTGGGCAGGGAGATGGCAACAGCCTTCTTCTGCATCTTCCCCATCCAGACCTTCAGCTGCTCCTTTGTCAGCAGCTTCTCAAGACGCTCGAGTGGCTCCACGTGGTGGGGCATGAGGATGATGAGACTGGAGAGCTTGTGTGCCAGGGGCATCTCCAGGATTTGAACCTTCTCCTTCTCGTCATCATAGTAGTTGTAGAGGCCTTGGGCAGAGAGCACAGAACACTGGGTACACTGTGGGGTGGGGGGCAGGCTGGACCCTGAGTACACTGGAACCCTACCTTGGCCCCCTGCTCTGCAAGGCACCTACCTGTCCGATGCATCATCGTAACTCCCACGGTATAAGAACGAGTCACCATGAAGCCACGGTTGTCCACCATCTTGTGGTGGAACTTCTCATCCCAGTGTGCTGTACGGGGACAGAGTGTTGAGTCAGAGATTCATGTCCCCAGATACAGTCACAGCCACAGACACTCTAACTGCATGCTCTGGATTCATCCCTACCACAGGTCTTAGCACCATTCTCTGAGATCAGGCTGCAAACGTCGCACCCAAGCACTCGGCCCCTCAGAGAACATGTTCCCTGAGGACATGCTTACTGAGGGTGCTGTTCCCATTATCACTGTCCAGTTGCTCTCACACGACAAGAAATTCACTCTACCTCAGCTCAACCACCTCTGTCTACTGCCTGGGTAGTACATGTCCTGCGTTAGAGAAACACACTGAGCTGGGCTTTCTACCCAACATAGTAAATGAGGGAGGTATGTGCCCAGGCTAGAAGGTCCCTAAGGCCATGCTTTATTCTTTTTTTACTTTTTTTTTTTTTTTTAGCGGTACCAGGGATCGAACTCACAACCTCACGCTTGCCAGGCAGGCGCTTATGCCGCTGAGCTAAATCCCCAGCCCCTCCATGCTTTACTCTTGTCTGCAAATCGTTTCTGTGACTACAAAGATGACTAAAAACAATGGATGTGAGGCAGTGACCTCAGCCCTGTGCTTAGTCACAATTAGACCTGCAAACGCATTCAGGCTCAGCTACTGACTAGCTGTCAGATCTTCTCCCTTCTCCTAGTTTGCCCACATTTGTAAAACCTCATCCTCAAAGCAACTGTTAGCACAGTACCATCTACATGGGTCCTCACTAACTCCAAAGCTAATCTTCAATTCAATACTGATGTATACGGCCTCAGTCCTGAACTTTCCACCTCCTATCTGAGCATCGGTTTTCTTGTCTGTGAAATGGAGGTAACACTACCTGCCCCTGGGGTTGCTATAAGCTCACTGCTGAGGCAGAACTGACCACTGAATTTTATCAATTCTGACACAGACAAGCAATAGCACTTTGATTTGATGAAATACAGCAGGCAGGAGCACATCTTCTAGAATCATTCAGAGGGCTTGGATCCCTGTTCTATTCCTTTAGACTCCTGGCTGTCTCTCCATACCTAGCTTCTAGAGTGTATGAAGGATTGAGTAATTGTTCTCCCTCTTAAGGTTGCTGTATTTGATGAAAACAGTGAAGAATTCAGTGAGAAACCTTGTTTAAGGCTCCTCAGAGAAAGGACCTCCCCCCATCTGCCCTGCCCTCTTTGGACTCACGCTTGAAGAACATGGCGTTGACAAGCAGGGCGCCATCGGTGCGCTCCACGTCTTTGGTGACCTCAGGCAGCTTGCCGTCAGTGGTCTGTGCAGCCCACTCATTGATGGACTGCAGGGCACTGCGCTTGTCCCGGAAGTTGATCTTGGAGTGCTCACAGTTGTAGTGCTGCTTGCTGCTTCGCACAAAGTCCTCAGCGAAGCTCACTGAGCTCGGGCCATACAGGCGGCTGCCCAGTTTCCAGGTCACATTGCGTGCAGTGGAGTTGCTAAGTGATCGCAGCAGCTCGCCCAGGCCTGCATGCACCTCCTCGTCACGCAGCTGCTCTGCACTCAGCACTGCCTTGGCCTGTGATGCGGTGGCTGCCTTGCCGCCCAGAGATACCAGCCCCAGGGAGGAGGCCACTACCACAGGTGACAGCAAGATGTTTTCTACTGCCTGGTCCTTGGCCATGGCCTGGTACAAGCTGAAGGCCAAGCCGGCACTGCGCTCGGCCAATGAGGCTGCCTTGGGGCTCAGCTTCTCTGCAGTGCCGGGAGCTGCCGCTGCTGTAGGTTTCTTCACCTCGGCTGCCAGGGCCACTGCCAGGAGGCTGAAGGCACCAAATAGCAGGAGGCAGCGCATGGCTGGGAGGTGGACTGTGTGCACCACAAGGGACCTGTACAGAGTGCAGAGAGAGTGGCCCTGAACCCCTATGCCTTCCTCCCCAGCCACCAACCCCACCCTTCTGGCTGCCACCAAATCCCCAGAAGATCAATACAAGACAGAGCACTGGAGGTACAGGCCTAACTCAGGACAGCCCACTTTCCCCAAGGCCTTCTTTGACTTCCCAATCTAAAGCAGAGTTCCCAGGAAGTCACCAATAGACCACCCTACCAACTTCTGCAGTGTACACCCAACACTTACACTTATTTGGTTGTTTATCATAAATCTATTTTGCCCCTAAGCAAGCTGTGGCCTGCAGGACAGGATGCCTCGACAATTTGGTTCCCCGTCATATCCCCAGTGCCTGTAAAGGACAGAACCCATCTATTCCTGAGTGAAGGTAAAACAGGTCCACTGGGCCAGGCCAGGAGATCCTGTGTGTTATAGAGCTCAGCTCTGATCTCACACAACCCTCAGGGCTTTTCACTGGTGAGGAAAAGCAGCAACTGGGCTGAGGTCTGTCTGCAGGAAGCCCAAGTACTCAAGCAAAGGATGTCATGTGGGACAGGACTGTAGGCCTGTGCTCCAATACCCATACCTCCCATTCTGCTCCGGGATGTTAATGAGTCATTCATTAATTGTGAGAGCTCAAATGCTCCACTTCACTGCCCATAGGGTGATCATGAGTGACAGTGTGTGTGCATGCGTGTGTGTCCGCTCACTGGGTGTGCACTGCATTCTTTCTTTTGCAAGCTCCAAGGGTCTAGGTCTCCATGCCCAAGGATTTAACTTGCACATCTGTGCACAGCCCCTGGACCAAAAGGGAAATCCCAGGACAACAGCTCCTGGGACCAACTCCTTGGAAACTAGAAGGGGAGGGGGGCTTCCTGAGAGAGCAGCTCAGCCAGGATCCTGGGGAGGGAGATGAGTCACAGCTCAACAGAGAGCACTGACCCCCCGCCCCATTCCCCATGACAGGCTGGTCAGATGTGTGTTCATCCTTCCAGGAAGTTGGAGCCACATCACTGTACTCTGTCCTCCCATCTAACACCCACCGCCACGTAGGCCATCGGCTCTGTGGTGTCAAGGTTGCCCGCAGTCCTCCTCTCCTCGCCTCCATGCAGCAGGAAAGGAGAGGACAGGACAGAAGGAAGTCAGGAAGAATCGTGATATAAGCCCAAGCTCCACTGCTCTGGCAGATCCAATTTCATGACTCAAACTTCACAAGAAAAACTAAAAATTCAAAATCCTGATGGAAAACCCTGGAGAGTCCGGCCTGCCGGAGGAGAGCACTGGGAAGATTTTACAGCTGGCATCCTATAAACCTTGGACCTTTCACCTACCTGCTCTGCTGCCCTCCCCAGGAACTTGAAGGTGCAGTGCAGAGGAGAAACAAAGGAGATGGGGGTCCTGAGGCCCACACCAGGCCCCAGACCTCTTCTAGCCCTTCCCTTCCCCCCTCAAGCCTGAGAGCACAAAGGCAAAGTGACCATATCATTCACTGTGCAAACAAGCACACTTGAGAGTAAAACAGAGTCCAGGACAACAGGAATATGGCCACCATTCTCAAAGGCCATCTCTAATGCAGATAATCAATAGCAGGCTGCAGAAGCCACAGCATGGCCTTCCTTAGGAGGCAGCAAAGGAGCCAGGCTGCCACGTGGCAGCCACCATCTTGACAGCCCCTGCCCCCAGCCAACCCGAACCTCAAAGGCTGGGAGGGGCTTCTCAAAAGGGCTCCAGATGACTAGTTTGGGTTTCTCTGGCAGCTGTACAGCTCCTGCTCCCAGTGATGGTGACGTGGCAGGCAGGAGGCTGAATTATCTTTGCAGGCCAGCAGAGGGGGGCTGCTAGGCTGAAAAGGAAGAAGCTTGGACTCCGGTCCTAAGGGTGCCACGGATTTTCCAGGGATTCCAGGAACCTCCCTGGCCTCTGTTTTATATCTGCACCTCTGTCTCTGAAGGGAGATGCAAGGCTCTGTTAAACCAGCAGGCTGGAATTGGGGAAGGCAAGTCCCTGCAAGCCAACCAGCCAGCCTCCCGCAGCCTGCCATGGGGAAATGCCAGCCCTAAGGCCAAAGTGAGATCATCTACAGACCCAGGGAGAAAAATAAAACTTCACTCGGCCTAGGGCTGTGCCTTCAGCTTGGCTGGATTTAGATGGGATTGGAAGGGGAGGTGATGCTGGGACCACCATAGGCCTCCAACACTTGAGGGGTCTAAAACACCTTGAAACTTCCCCAGAGGATAGTCAATGCCTGCCTTTTTCATTCTGAAAGAAAACAGAAGAATGAGGAGGCTGGGACCCTCACCCAGAAGGTGGGGAGCAGGAGCTTGCCAGTTCCAGCCCCCAATCAGCACCCATCTTCGATCTACTGACATGCTGGAGGTTGAATGCCTCATGATTGGTTCAGTAGGAGAAACCGAGCCCCAAGGAGCAGTCACCCCATCCCACAGGGAAGAGTCAGGCTTCCTGAGGCAGAGCTCCTACCTCCCAGAACTGAGTCTCCAGAAGGCTGCATGTGGTGTCCTATTACACAGCCAGAACACACTCACACAAAAAATCCCTGCTGGGAATCCCGGTGACCACAGACAAAAGAAAGGACAGGAAAGGGGGCAGGGCACAGGAACCATCTGAAAACAGCATGGTGTGTTCCCAGTCAAACTTCCAGGCAGCCAAAGCCTCCACTTTTTCCCAGATCTCCGCCTGGGCCCTGAAGCCCAGACAGACCAGCAGGAAACCTGGGAAGAGGAGGGGCCAAGTCCTCAGGCTGGGCTGGAAGCGCTCTCTTTCCCCCTCTCCAGGGGCCTCAGGAATGTCCCTGCACTCCGGGCAGGAAAGCGTAACCCTGTGGTTCCTCAGGAACCGAGTGGATGGGCAGGCAGAATAGGAGGCTCTCTCGTCCATCCCTCCCGACCCTAGGAGTGCAGACCCTTCCTAGGGAGAGAATGGTATGCTCAAGCCGTTCCCTCAGCTGTCACACATAGATCGTAAATGAAGCCACCTGTGGGGACTCATCCCGGCATAGGGACCAAAAGAGCCAAGAGTCCCAGCCCAGCAAACACCAGCAGGATTTCACCTCTCCGATGATCCCCATCAACTTCAGAGGAGGCTGAGCCACCAATCCATCACTGCTGGCCTCTGGGCCTCCAGGCCAACACCTCCCAGTGCAAAGCTGGCCAGGGCGAGCCCTGCACAAGGGACTAGAACCCCCCTCGCTGGGCCCTGGCTCCCAGGGCCACTGTCTCCTTTAGGCCACCTCAGGCCTTTTCCTGAACTTTTAGGGGCTCTGCACTTTCTCAAACTCCTCCAGTGCATACTCTCCACCGGGGCCTGCTCTCTGCCCAGTCCTTAGCTCCATCACCATCCAGCTGTCCCCAAATGCCACGGGCTCCAGTTTATGGGCCCCAACCCCCCCTGGGGTCATTCGCCCCGCCTCGCTCCCCAGCCCGGCCCCGGCCCCTCACCTGGACCCGGAGGCGAGTCACTCTCCGGAGCTGCGGACGGATTCTACTCTCGGTCCGCTTCCTCCGCTCGGGTTCTATATATGGATCTCCCCACCCACTCCTGCCCGTCCCGAGAAACTTCTGGAAAGTTGAAAATGCTTCCGGAGGGCGCCCCAGCTCCGCAAAAAAGAAAAAAAAAGTCAAGACCCTCCTCCCCAAGCCGCCCCGCCCCGGCTCCCGCCCCTCTCTGAGCGCGCTCTCCCGCCCCTGGGTCCTACTGCCCCAATCAAAGGGTTGGGCTTGCGGCGGCGCCGGGATCCCCCACCTGGCCCAGCTGATTCTTCCAAGGGTGCACAGGCATCTTTTAAATCAACGAAGACTCTGGATCCCGCTGTTCTGCAGGTGGCGGGAGGGGAGTTCAGATCATTGAGCTGGAGGGGCCACAGTGATCCTGTTTCCAGAACACACCCCCAGCCCTGACAGCCACGCAAACCAACCCACTCCTGGTAGCGCGTTCTGCTGTCACCCCTTTCCTTGTTCTGTCCAGAGGAGATAACTCCCCACTCCCCGCCACTCACAAACCTCCACTTTCTTCAAGCTAAAGTTTAACTGGGTCTCCAGTTATCTCGTCCTCAGTTCCTCTCCTTCACTCAGGAGAGGTGGGCAGATTTAGGAATCCGTGCCTTTCTCCAGTCTGGGATGGGAGCTAAGGGGAGAGTTTAACCCTGAAAATCTCAGGCCCAGTTGAACTTGACTAGCGATGACTCTGAGGAGGCGAGAGGTTGGACCAGACCCAGGACCTGCCCCTCACCCCTGAAAGCCAGTGTCTTGGTGTGTTAGGGCAGTGTCGGGTGGTAGCGGCTGGGCACGGAGAGGTGCACTGGAAGGAGACCCTGACTGTCCCCTACTAATGGCTCTGTCCTGTGATGCTAAACAAGCAACCTTCATTTTCTGGGCCTCAGTGACCTTGACTGTGAAATGTGATGATGAATCATTCCATGATTCTTTCCTCAGTTTCTCTCTCCTCTATCTCAAATTGGTCATCCTTGGCCCCCTCCCTGTCTCAATCTTTACCCCCACCCCACCGTCCCACGGCTGATAGCCCCTTGAGCTCTGAGCTCACTGAGGATATTTGTTATAATTCTAGAGGCTGAGGGTACAGCTGAGCGCTGCACCAATCCCTGCCCCCAGGAATCTCCATTCTAAAGGGCTTGGTCATATTAATAGAGAACTCCCAGAAGGTAGGTCAGCATGGACAGGTCAGAGAGACCCTTCATTCATTCACACATCCAGTCAGCAAACTGGTAAGTGTGTCTGGGGAGCAAATCAAGCCTATCGCCCAGCAAATGAATCCTCTGTGTCCCTGGTATCAGTCAGCTGTGTGGTAGGGGGAGTTCTACTACCCCAGCCTGGTGATTAACTTCTCAGTCTGCCAGTACTCAAACCTCTAAGGATAAGGACTATGGGAAATCTTAGATTCCAGAAGCCTCAGACTCTGAATGGAGGTCAAAGAAAAAGAGATTTCTTAAATCCCAAAGTGACCATCAGAGAAGATGACAAATAATACTACCTAACACTCGAAGCATTATAGAATCCTGAATCCTGATAAGCTTAGCCTCAGAAACTTAGCGTGAAAGAATCAAACCTCTGGGCTACAAGGCATCTCAGGGGTCATGGACTCCTGTAGTCTCACACAGAAGTCGCTGAGCTATCCCCCAAAAGCAGCAACCCCGGCACTCTCAGAACAGGGACCACGCTGTCGGCAGAAGCAGCACAGTATTCTTTGCGAAGACAATGTCTGACCAGTAGTAAAACCTTCCTGCCTGGAGGTGGTGTCCATGCCTTTGGGGTGGTACCTTAGTTCTTGCACGCTTGCACAATCTCAGTTGTGTATTATTCTGTATGTGATACTGGGCATCAAATGAGGTGCAGGGTATCCTAGCACTGGATTACATCCCTACCCTTTTCTACCTTCCAGTTTCTTATTTTGAGACAGGGTCTCCGTAAGTTACTCAGATACTCAAACTTGCAACCCTGCTGCCTTGGTCTCCCTAAATTCTTGGATTACAGGCCTGTGCCAGCATCCCCAGTCTGTGTACTGCTTTCACAGATAAATCTTTGCTCTGTAAGGTCACTGCCCAAGTTCTGGACCAGATCCCATCCTTACCCCCAATTCTCACTTCAGGCTTCCCTTGTAGCTCTAGTGGGCCATGAGCTGAGAGCTCAAGCAGGAACAGAGAGGACCTTCAAAGCTGGTGGAGTGCAGGAAAGGTTTACTTTGGTTTCCATCAGGTTCAAAAGCCAAAAGCCCAAAAGATTTTCCCTTCCCATGCACTGTTAGATCTCTCAACTCTCTTGACCTCACCAACTTTTAAAGAAGAAACTGAGAGGGCTAGATTTTACTGTTTTGCAGAGGTAAGCTGAGGTTCATGTTAGATTTCTAGAAGGTAAATAGAGGAGACCAATGCCCTCCAGTTACATACAGGAAAGCCGAGGCCAGAGAAGGCAACCAAGTCTGAAGCTAGTTCACCAGACCCCGAATGTAGTTCACAGGATCTGCTCCCCACCCCCCACCACGGTTTATCATGCAGTTATCGCTGAGGATTGTCCTTGCCTGCTAGAGACTGTGGAAGGATGGGCCTCACCCTGAGTTCCCAGCTCCTAGCCCAGGGCCAGGCGCAGAAGAGGCATTTGGTAAATGTAGCTGATCAGTCTACTGCTCTCCGAGCACGGCCTCCCTGAGGAAAGGAAGGCTACGGCTCCTTTAAATTTCCAGCATCAGCAAAAAAATGTCAAGAGCCTTTGCCACATTATTCTTAGCTCGGAGCCCAGCCCAGGCGGCTGAGGGTGGCCCTTCCCCCACATTCCAGGCTGTGCTTTCTGGAAAAAGCAATCATTTTGAAGGGGGAGGGGGCTCTGAAATGCCCCGAAAGTTTCAAGCCTTTCTTGTCTGAATCTTTCAGTGCCTGCAAATATATTCTTACCACCGTGTACTTGGGAGCATAGCTGAAAAGGTCCCAGGAGGTGTGAGCAACAGGAAATAACTTGAAAGCCAAGTCCAACTGCATTCACACTGGACAGGGAGGGAAAATGAGGCCCAGCATGGGACAGGAATTTGCCTAAAGTCACACAGCAGATCGGAGATGGTGCTAGACCAGATTCTCTGTCCTGGCCCTAGTCCTCTGTTCCCTCTGGCCTATGAGGCAGACAAGCCCAGGTCTGCAGCAGCAGCAGAAATGGCTTCCTTTGGCCCAGCGGCCAGATTCACTCAGTCCTGCCTCTGTGGACTCCTAGAGCAGAAACCACGTCACCAAAGTGTCCAGTCCGTCCACATTTGTTATCATACTGGATCCTTCCAGGGAAGTAGGGATGTTTGCTTTTTATTTACTTAATTAAGTATTTATCATTTGTTTTTGCAGTAGTGGAGTTTGAACCCAGAGCCTCACACATGCTAGGGCTACATTCCCTGCCCTTTTTATGGCTTTTGTTCTGAGGGGGTTTCACTAAGTGGCGCCCTAGGGGCCTTAAACTTTTGATCCTCTTGCTTCAACCTCGAAAGTAACTACAAACCTGTATACCACCATGCATTTTTAAAATGATATTGTAGACTAATCCCCAGGGCATTTGCACTAAGCTACATCATTTTGTTCTTGTTTGGTTTTTTGTTTGAGATAGGATCTCACTCAGTTATCTAAGGTGGACTGGAATTTATAATCCTCCTGCCTCAGCCTCCCAGAGCATATGCCATGAAGCCCGGCTGAATATTCCCTTTTTTAAATGTGAGGAGACAGGATAAGGGATACTAAGAGTCACACAGCACATTGGAGTCATAACCAGGGCTGGAATCAAGTCTGTTAGTGTCATCCATGGGGAGGGACCAGTGAGCAGAAGAGAGAAAAGTGACATTTACGGAGGATTTTGCTGATCCTGCCCCATTCTGCACACCCTTGTCAGGGTATCACTTTTAATTAGAGAACATTAGTTGGAAAAAGCTTACTCCCATTCTTTTTACATGGGATAAAAGGAGCCCTGGAAAGGCTCCACAACCAACCTACAGTGGTCCTCTCCCTGAGGGAGGCAGGATGGCCATGGGCAGTTTTCCGTCATAGCTTTCTGGGAGCCAAGTTGTTTTCAGCCCAGGAATGAGTCAGGAAAACTTCACTCTGCATGGAGTATGGGGCCTTCCGTCCAAAGGAGCAGTCCCATGCTGTCACATCAGAGGGAGGAAGAGGCAGGCCAGTGTGGGCCACGGATACAGGACTCCTTGCCAACTCCCAGAGCTCTGGGAGTCGCCCCCCCCCCCCCACTACTTGCAGGCCTTCTGATGTTGGGGAAGCCACACAAACTCCTCAAGAGCCTTTGGGCCTGTGTGTGAAACAAATCCCAGGGACTTAGTCCCCTGACATGCTCCATGTGGCCGTACCAGACACATGGCAGCACTCAGGGACACCCTTTCCAAGCCATGTAGGCACACACGTGTGCATCACTGTCCAGCAGCCCTGTGCATGGCATGTAAGACACATGCATGTGCCTGATATTTACATTTACTCAGGCAAAGGCTCCCTGGCCCTTCCCATCTCCTAGGCTTCCTCTGACAATTCGTGGAAATGCCCCTAGCTGCAAGGCCAGACTTGAAGGGCTGTTAGGAAGGGACGACCCTTGTTAAACGCTGTGCTGTCTTTTTCTCTTTGCCCACCTTTTCCCACAACCAGGTACTGCTGACAAGTGCAATAATAGTGCTGTACAGACTGGCCCCACAGCTGTGGTCCCTGACGTCTCTAAACTGAGAAAAGGATTCCTGAGCTCTACCAATCCCCCTCCCCCACTCTAATCCTCTTCAGCTCACTGCAGGGCTCCAGTCCGTGTTCTGGAATGTAAAAGCCTGACTTGGAATCCTGGCCTGGCTCTGCTTTTTGTTGTTGTTGCCATTTTTTTGAGAAAGGGTCTCAATATGATTTCAGGCTGGTCGTGAACTCACTATGTAGCCCAGGTTGGCCTCAAACTTGTGGCAATCCTCCTGCCTCAGCCTCTCAACTGCTGGGATTTCAGGTGTGCACCACCATGCCTGACTCTCAGCTCCGTCATTTCTTATATGTCTATGATCTAATCCTCTCTTAGAAGATAGGTTTGGTCCTCTCAAGGCTGATGAGAAGTACAGATGAAATAATACCAGGAGAGCACCTTGTGAATGCCAAATGACGTCAGGACCTCCTCTCCA